AGGGCACGTGTCTCTTTCCTGGCCGGGTGTTCAGCTCCAGGGCTGAGACTGAGGCTCTTGGGTAACTGGAGTTTGGGGTGCAGCTGAATAGCCCGGGGGTCCCTGGAAGTGTCTCCCTACCAGACCCACTGGCCATGCCCCCTTGGGCCCTCTCTCTGACGGTGGCCTTGGGCCCTGACTGGCATGCCTGGGAGTCCGGCCCGGCTCCCCCGGTCACTCGCTCCGGGTGTTCAGCTCCAGGGCTGAGACTGAGGCTCTTGGGTAACTGGAGTTTGGGGTGCAGCTGAATAGCCCGGGGGTCCCTGGAAGTGTCTCCCTACCAGACCCACTGGCCATGCCCCCTTGGGCCCTCTCTCTGACGGTGGCCTTGGGCCCTGACTGGCATGCCTGGGAGTCCGGCCCGGCTCCCCCGGTCACTCGCTCCTGTGCGGGGCTGGGAGCTGCTGGCCCAGCTTTCCCCGCAGTGTTATAAGGGCCGCTCTGTCCTGACCCCGTGTGCGGCCTGGGCTGGGGGTGCTGTGGGGGTGGAGGCAGACGCACCTCCCTCGGGGGAGAGGCTGTGAGGATGAGCTGGGGCCTCTCCCAGGGCCAGGCCCGGGAGGGACAGGACACAGTGGGAGATTCTGGACCCAGGTTTGATCCTGGTGGTTTTGAAGTGCTGGGGCACATCCCTGGAGTCACACACCCTCAGGACTAGAGAGAGAAATCGGGGAACTGTGCCCAGGGGGAGCTGAAGCCGCGGGGCAGGGGTGGGGGACCAGGGCCGTGTCAGCCTGACCGTCTTGATGGGCAGTTGAACCCTCAGTCCCCTCCAGCCGTGCATTTTCAGGCTAGAGCTGCTCACGGTCCTTTCACAGCCGGAGTGAGTCTCAGTGATTTAAATCACACGTTACTTCTTCTTCAAGAGCCCCCTTGGGCTTTTGCTGTTTGGTGAGGTGGGAAGGCGTGAAGGGGATCCCCCATGTGAGCTCAGGGGCAGGGCTGGGCGGGGAGAGAGCCAGGTTCCTGGGTGACTAGGTGCTGAGTGTCTGCGTGTGCACCTGTGCGCACACCTGTCTGCTGCCTCTCACCCAGGGCTCGTGTGGGTGTGGGTGCTGGATTCGAGGAGGTGACGAGGGTTGCTCTGTGCTCCCCTTGGGCTCCTGATCCCTCCGTCCAGGCACAGTGGTCAGGGTCAGAGGCAGGCGAGGATGGAGGCCTCGGGAGGCACGTCCCCCTCTGCTCCGCCCGGGAAAGGCGTCTCCACCACTCCCTGACCTTGACCTCGACCCTTTCATCTATAAAATGGGCCACTGCAGACAAGCTCCGTCGTGAGTGTTAAAGGAATTTGCAAGGAGCCTGTGCAGGGTGGACACACGTCCTTGACTTCTGATCAGTGCTTTCCCCACACGGAGATGCTGTAACCGGAGTCAGCGAATGGTGGGCCTTGGGCACCTCCGGCGGGTGCCGCGCCCTGCAGGACCGCCCTGCCCTGATGGGGGTCAGCACCTCAGGGCTCTGCGGGAACAGCTCTGACCCTGGCGGAGGTGTCTTTAGGGCGTGAGGGGTCTGGGTGACAGTGCAGCCTTGGTGGGTGTTGGGGACAGTGGGAGGGGTGGGAGCCACCATCACCCCCAAACCTCAGCGCCTCGGGACACAGGGCCTGGTGGGGTTCCTCACTGTTCAGAAAATAAGTTTTTCTTTAATTTCAGAGAGAGGAAGGGAGAGGGAGGAATAGAAACATTAACGATTAAAATCACTGATCAGCTGTCTCCTGCACGCCCCCTACAGGGGATCGAGCCCACAACCTGCAACCCCGGGCAGGTGCCCTGACCAGGGATGGAACCATGCCCTCCTGGCTCCTGGGTCAATGCTCAACCACTGAGCCACACCAGCCGGGCAGGCTCCTCACGCCTGCAGGCTCTTTCCTCTCTTGAGGTTGTTTGTTCTTGATGTTCATTTTGAGATGAATTACCTACGTGTGTGTATGGGGGGGCGGAGGGAGGGGCCAAGAAAGGAACCTCAGGGTGGACGGGCCCAGCCCTCAGCCCTGCACACGCAGCACCCGGGCTCGGCCAGCTCGTTCGGGATGTTTTATTTTCTGAAAGTAGACAATCTTTGACTTCCACACCACACCGGCCCCGCGTCCCTCTGCACGTCTCCCAAAGTCCTTGGCTGTGCTTCTGTGCCCGACCTCGGGCGCACGGTACCGAACAGAGGCGGAGAGAGGAGCTCTGGCGAGGTCTCGGGGCGCCTTCCCTCTCGGTGGCCGCCGGGGTTCGTATTTACACGCGATCCGCGGCCAAGG